CCAAGAGTAACACACCTCAGTACCTCACACCTGTATTCTGGTCACAGCCTCATAAATATGTTCCCTGCAACCATCCAGGGGCCAAGAGTTTAATAAATTCTGGGCATCACTCCATTAATCTTTGACTTAACATTATAGCATGCTCTGCTCTAAAATAGTTTCCCTTTTCCTGTAGATAGAAGTTCAAAACCTCTAAGCCTCAAATTCACAGACCTCTAGAATCTGGCTCCTATCTCTCATTCACTTCATTACCTCCGTTTCAAGCCTCCTCATCCTGCCCTCACCTAGCCTATATTCTGCCTGCATTTCCACCTGTGTCTGCCAATTCTTCAAAGAACTCAGTACAGGTCTCACACTGTCCATGAACTAGCCTGAAGATATTCCAGAAAAATCTCTCATACAGATGTTGCTAACTAATACTTTGTGCTTCTCATTCAACACTTAACATTTTCTCAATTTCTACTTCCTCAGCACACACAAAAAGCATGATGTAAATTACAAAAAATGTGAAAATACCTAGCACATTCAGACACCAAATGCTTATGTATGGGCTAGTGAGATAAGTCTAATTTTAAAAACTTAAATCTGAGAATAAAATGCATAAAAATCAACACAAAGGAGAATAATTTAGCCCCTCTTATTACTATAAGTCACATGATGGTTTGTATAATCATAAATAGAGGAATACTTATTTGAAAACCATCTATGTCCAAAAAAGAAGGACAAAAAGTGTTCTGAAACCAGGGAGGCATTCCTTTTGAGAAAAGGAATGGGATCAGAAACTAATTTTCATTCTCTGATTTTTATTCTTAATAAAAAACACTTATAATTAATAATTTAGTTCTCCAGCTATCTATGAAGTAAAATGTATTCCTCAAAATACATTAATGAATCGGTATTTTGGTTTAAAAATCAATACCTTTTCACTTTAGTTAAGAGTTCCTTCCCTAGAGCTGAATCAATTCAGCTCAGTTCAATAAACATTAATTGAGCATTTTCTATGTTCCAGGCTCTTTCCTAGATCTAAAAATGAGTACAAAGTCAATGACATTCAGAGGTTCCAAAGTGAATTAGGAGACAAATTATATCTCAATAAAGTTGTTTCTACAAAATTTTAATCATTAATGATTGCTTCAAAATCCTTATTCCTCTTTCCTCATGAAGCTGGATGACATCTTTCCCAGCAAACAATGTATAATAACAGAAGCATGCTAGACAAATATCAAGGTTCAATTTTCTACTGGCAATTCTCTTTTCCAGAAAAACTAATCTTGTAGTTGTTCAGCAGAAAACAATTTATTTCTATGATCTCCAAATAAGAGAACAGCTTTGGCCCACCTGGCACAAAAGACAAGTTAGTCTTTCAAGCACATCAAAGGCTAAAAAGTTTTTAGGTCTGATTAATCAGTATCATCTTCTATAAGCCTTCATCTGATCACTACTGTAAAAATTTTCAGTAACTATATTTTAAATTATAAAATATTGGAAGCAGAATGAGGAAGAAAGTAGTTAGATTTCAAGTACGAAGAACTGGCCCTAAACTCTTCTATGTAACAGCCAGGTGGCCTCAACAAATTCTTTAACTTCTCTTAGCATTTTTTCTTAATCTAAGAATCATATCAGTTCCACCAGTTCTCTCAAAGTTTTGGTTAGGATCAAATAATACTCGCTAACAGACTCTAGAACTGTTCATCACTACAATGTAAACTGGTAAAATCTGGGACACTAGTTATACAGTAACACCAAATGTTGGGTAACGTGAGAGTTTCAGAGGCAATAAAAGTCAAAAAGAGAAATAAACAATGTTAAAATGTAAAAACTCTTGTAAGATAGGGGACATCTTACTTTATAACATGCAAAGCTACGAGTATGAAAAAGTTCTATATATGACATCTACACCCACATTTTAATTAGAATTTCTGAAATATACTGCCACAAGAATGAATTATTTGTTGTTATAATTTTAAATAAGTTATAACGGCTGACCATTCTAAAGCTGATGTTAAGGTAGTACTTCAACCTTTATTTGCTTGTAACCACACTCCCATTAGCCCAAGAATCAGAGAAGTTAAATGGACTGCTAAGGATGCTAAATACTGGAAAAGAATAACACACAGAGAATTCACCAGTAAAAAAAAAAAAAAGGAAACTTATCTGCATGTGGACAGAATGCATATTCATGCAAACAAAAAGTGAGCTCCAAGAGATCTGGTATGTTAATGCATTCGGCTGACTACCAGCCTAAGTTAGTTTTCGCATCCTCTTATGTTTTATTTTTTTCACCCTTCAGTCTAGTATTGTGGGAAAAAGCACACAGCATGCTATTCCGCTTTACTGCAAACTTACGTCTCCAACCTCAGCTGGGATCCCACAGTTATTCGGAAAATCATTTTTGTGTCTAGTCTTTTCTTTCTTATACTTTCTATGGAAGCTATAAGCATTTAACATGTATTTTCTCTAGGCCTCTTCCCTATCACCTCCAAGCCTCATCTGTACGGATAAAGAAAATGGAAGTCATAGGATGTGTTTTCCTTCAACCTCACTTATAATTTAACTATCATAGAATTCATCCTTTAATCACTCATCAGAATACTAAATAATAGTGTGACTCGTTGTTTATTGATCATCTGCCATATGCCAAACAACGGGCTGAAGACTTTATATATAGACGCTGCAATAATCTTACAAGTACTTTTGGTCCCATTTTTTACAATGACAAGAGTGAAGTTCAGGGACCTAAGTAACTTGTTCAAGGTTTGTAGCTAATGAGAGGTAGAAAACAGATCTGAATCCAGGTCTGTCTATAACTGTGTCACCCTGCCTCTGAAAAGTGTTCTAATGCCTACCCAAGACCTCCATTCTACACAAGGACAACACATTCATAAAATTATTTTCAATGCTATGTGATCTCTCTTTTCTAACCAGTGCTGAGAAAATATATCTAAATCTCTATACTTAAGTAAAAAACATGGCTTAAGCACTTTATATGTTTTCATTTAAAAGCTTTTTTTTTTTTTTTTAGAGAGAGAGAGAGAGAAAGCACGTACCCGCCTGGGCAGTGGGTGGGGCAGAGGCAGAGAATCATAAGCAGGCTTCACACTCAGCACAGAGCCCAACTCAGGGCTCAATCTCACAACTCTGAGCTGAAATCAAGGGTCAGTTCTTTAACTGACTGAGCCACCCAGGCACTCTTAAAAATAGATTTTTAATATAAACATATATATATATATATAACTTACATTAATAAATTAAAAGATTTTTTTGTTTATTTTAGAGAGAGGGAGCACAAGGGGGAAAGGGTAGAGGGAGAGAGAGAGTGTGTCCCAAGCAGACTCTAACGTGGGGCTATGATCTGAGCAGAAACCACGAGCCAGAAACTTAACCAACTGAGCCACCAAGGTACCCCTAAAGTTTTTTAACTTAATGTAAATAAATGAGTTAGATCTACCTTGAAGACATGAGGTTGAAAAACTGACTTCCATTGAGTTTCTAAGAAAAACTCAAAATATCAGTTTATGTGGGTTAACAGTTATCTTTCTAGTCCTCTATTCTATCTTTCTAGTCCTCTATTCTATCTACAGAGTGGAAAAAGAAAGATTAAATTTCCGGTTTCTTCAATTTTCCAGTAATTTCTCACTTTGGCAGAGATTCATTCCTTCAAAGGTAGAAAGTGGTTTAGCAACATCTATAGAAAGAACCTAATGCTTTAAGAATTGTGTCCTCTCAAAAAATGAAACAAGAAGAAACCAGAGAGGGAGACAAACCATAAGAGGCTCTTAATCTCAGGAAACAAACTGAGGGTTGCTGGAGGGGAGAGGGGTGGGAGGGATGGGATGGCAGAGTGATGGACATTGGGGAGAGTATACTCTGTGGTGAGCACTGGGTATTGTGTAAAACTCATGAATCACACATCTGTACCCCTGAAACAAATAATATATTATAGGTTTAAAAAAAAAAACCTGTGTCCTCTTTCCTATGGTCCTGACACAGGTAGGCCCTAATTGGCATCATTAAGTTTTCTCACATAACTTTTAATAAAACTTCATCAGTCTCAGTCTTTAATGGCTCATCAAGGCACATGATTTATGGTGCTATTCACATAGAAGCTTAACTCCCCACCTCCATATCACAACAAACCCCTTTTTTCTTCAGCTGTTAAGAATTCACTTCAACACTGTAAGTACCATGCATATAAGTACTAGAGTCTGTCTTCTTCGATATTGTATCTCCAATACAGAGTAGATGTTCAGTGAACATCTGTTGTAATACATGGTGGCAGGAGAGTAAGAGAACACTGTGTGACCTACTGCACCTTTTGACACAAGTTCCCTGGACAGTTACATGAATCTGTTGTTGTAATTAATATAAAGTATGATATCAAAATATAGAACCTATTGTAGTCTTAAGCTTTAACAAAAGATTAGTTTGTTTATATAATATTTGGTTTGAAAATATTTCAAAACAGTTTAAAAGCAATTTTCTCATCTCTTTTGATTCAAAATAAGGCAAATAGTGATCAAGGAATAATTTGTGTATTTTAAATTTATATAGATAATATCTTTTTATATAGCTAAATCTAAACCTTTAAAGAGTAGGTTTTCTTTCATCCAGGTCAGAATGTAGCCTCTTAAATCCAAAAACGGTGTCATTTGTAGTTCATAAACACCTTGTCAATCAATGATACAATTCAAGAACTCCATACATATTTATTGCTGCATTCATTTTTAAACAAATACTGCAAAAGATTACACAGAGTGTGAGAAATGTCACCTAAACGGCAAAAAGCCTGTAAATATCAATTCATAATGGTAGGTTCCTTGTCTATCATTAAAATAAATATCAGCTTCTTGTCCACTTTCAATTTTACTGAATGCCATCCACTTATAAATTAATTATAATGATTCAAAATACCCAGTCACATTTTTCCTATCACTTCTCAATGTTCCTTCCATCCCCTAAAGTCATGATTTGAAAATTAAATGTAAGAACAATTTACAGACCTCCATCCATCCTTCCGGAGATAACTGAAGGCTCCATCAACAACACTTGCAAAGAACTGGCCTCCGGTGATGAAAAGGGTATTGATGGTGACTAAGCGACCTCTTAAATTGGGCGGGGAGACCTCGGCGATATACACGGGCACTGTCATGGAAGCAATGCCTGTGAAGAAACAAAGAGAAGTCAACAGAAGACACTGCCTCAAGATTTCTGTCCTTGTTATAAATATTGATGTTAGACAAAGACACAGAAACACACCCCTGGTTTTCTACTTTAAACAAGGTTTACCAGATTCTTAAAGATTTTGTTTATAACTAGTGACTACTAAAGATAAATAAAGACATATTGTGGAGAGACCCATTTTCATACTACCACTTGGAAACCTACAAAGGAAACTACCTCTAGAGCTCTTAGGTAACTTGAGAATGTATATAAAGCATGCTTTGTAAGTTTTGTGGACTAAAAATAAGTAAATGCTCTCTAGATAGGATATAATTATCAAAACATTTTTAGTCTATATGGAAATGTAATCAGACAACGTCGAGAATAAAAATTATCCTAGAATCATATTAACTACTCAAAGTCATCATTTCCAGCAGACACACCAAAACCAACCAGCTTACTATATAAAAAATCCATATAGTTGAGTCACCCTATTTGACTGGCTAGCTATAGATTTCTGAAGTAGCTTACAATGGACAACACTGATAATTTAGAATCCTTAAGAATATATGATCTTAACCATAAAACAGATGGTTTTATGGCTAAGGTATATTTGGTTATACCTGCTTAAAATCTCTTTCTATCTGAAATTAATGCAGCACAGCCTATGGTAGTATTTCCAGAACTTCAGTGATCACTAAATCACTTATGTAGCCCATTTTTTTCTTTTTAATAAAGATGCTCTCACCCCACCCACCTCAGACCTACTAAATAGAAAACCAGAGATGGGAAATGGGTTTCTTTTAAAAATCATCCAAGCACTCCTGATGCTCACCATGTATTTGAAAGACTACACTTCCATAGTCCACAACTTTAGGCTAATCCAAAATTACTTCTTAAAGGAAAAATCTTGATCCTCTTGGCCATATGGAGCTCACTGCTCAGTGGCACTTCCAATTTCTAGGTATGCCTGATTATGTAATCTAAAACTACTATCTAATCAATAGTTGTCAAAAGCTAAGTGAAAAAAAAAATCCAGCAGGATTATCTAAGAAAATGTATTCTTTTTCTACCTGTAGATACTATAAATTGATCTCTAGATTAAGCCAGAACATCAATGGGACATAAGATACCCAGGGAGAACTGAATGAATCTATATAATGCCAAAAAATAGTCTATACTGAAGGGAGCAGCACCAAGACAGCTACTGTTGTATTTTCTGTACAGGGGGTGCTGAGGGTGCTATTTGCCACATTCCAGATAACAGGAGACATTTGTCTATAGTCTCAGTAACCACAACAGTTGTGCTTCCCTCTCTGTGTTTATGGGCACTATCAATCACACAGCAGTCTTTAATTTCACACTTTATTAGGCAGTCAGAGATGCCCACTTCTACTAAGTGTTTTGGACTTTACAGTATTTATTCTGTGAGCTAAATTCCCTCCTGATGTCACAACTGTCCCCAAATTCACCTATTTTAGACATACGTTTTGCCATATTTTTATTTACTTTGTTCCATTTTGAACCAAGCAAATACATGGACAGACAAGATTTATTTAAGTTAATATATATCTGCTTTTGTACTACTGAATAACTACTAGTAATAACTGCACACAAGTCAGCCCATTAAATCTCAGAACTATACACTCTGTAGTTTCCACCAATATTATCTGCTCTTGTGGTGCCTATCAATATATATAAATATGCATGAAAAGAATCCAGCTTTTATGAGTTTCATAAAATAAGCACGTGTTAGCAAAGTATGAATAGTCTTTACAATTAAAGCATCACCTAAGCCGCTGGAAATTTCCATCTGACTGCTAATCAATTTAAGAGAACGCATCATACTAAATTGGCTTTCATCTAACTTGGAAAGAGGAAAACATTTGATGCAAATGTTGACAAATTAATTGTATATTCTTTTTAGTTCTTTTACAATTAGAACATCTCAATAAGCTTCCAGAAAGCAGACAGCAATAATTGTCTGGGTTTCTTTTCCTGTCTGGGTTGCTTTGGTCTGGCTATAACGAGAATTCAGTTGCTCTCTTTAGCCAGACATCTTGACTCAGGCACACAGCCCAGAGATTTAGCATGGGAAATGAGGGCTGTGGTTTTAGGCAGCTCGTGGCTTGTCACAAAGTCCATAGATTTTACCTGATGGAAATGTAGAGATAGCCTCAAGCCTTATAAAGGTTAATTATTAAAAATAAACATCAGGACCTTGAAAAGTAACAGGAAATGGCAAAGAGAAAAGAATGAGGAACTAAAAAAAGACTCACTAGATTTAGAATTGGAAAGAACCCCCCAAAGAGCTGTCTAATGAGTGCTCATATTGACTTAACAGTGTTACAATCACCTGCATTTGATATTTCACAGGGACTGATTATTTTATTAAATTCTCACAACATCCCTATAATGGACATATAATTATCCCCATTTTGCAAAAAAGGACCTTACCCCAGGTCAGGTGACAATAAGTAGAAGAACCAAAATTTGAACCAGAGAGATTCCAGAACCCAATTTTGAAAGTTCTAGACTCTACTGACTGGCCAGCACAGATGAAGGTAGGTTCTGGAAACAGTGGGTTTAAATTCCAGCCTTACCACTCTCCAGCTAGTTAAGACTAGACAAATTAACCATTCTGGGTCTCCAGAAATAAATAAATAAATCTATACACATATACACACACACATACACACACACATACACACCCCACTTGAAAGCACTTAACTTTGTACTTAGCATACAGAAAGTAGTCAATAATGTTAGCAATTATTTCTATCCTTACTATACCTCTAGTTATTAGGCATTCTAACTGTTTTTGATTCAGTTTGACTTGTATTAGGCACTTGCATTACGAGGATGAATATAAGTGAACAAAACAGAGTCTCTGTTATAAGAGAAGCTATATACAAGCCCCACTCACATAAACAGGCAATCAAATAAATAATTTCAAAATACCATGGTAAGAGTCACAGTACAGCTACACACTGCGTTCTATCTTGTAATGTGGACAACTGCTGCATGCTAATGATGATTAGATGCTAGTTCAGGACAGCGGGCAGACAATTCTACAGAGAAGAGCATGGTCTTAAGGAAATATGAAATGATAGGGATTTTCTCAGAGTTAAAAGATAAGTGTGAAGCAGCATGTGTGGAGAGGAGATCTGATCAGCTTGATCTGAGCTGGGCATTGTGCTAAGCACTGGAGAAATAGTATTGCACGAGAGACATGTTCTCTGTCCTCATGGAGTTTAGTGTCTGTCAGTCAAAATGTATTTGAAGAAGTAATAAGATGTCAAATGTGATGGGTCTTACCGAAGGGGAAGTGTGAAGAACAAGAGCTCATAGCAAAGGGACTGGCCCAGCTTGATGAGTCAGACAGTTCTTGGATGAGAAGGTCCTATTTAAGCAGCGATCAGCTGAATGAGTAAGCTAGAGCCCAAAGACAGTGGGAGGAAGGTGACACACACTTTAGACAATCAGTCCAGCTTAGCAAAGACCTTGAGGCAAAAAGAGATCCAACCTGTTGAATAAGGGGGACTATCTCTAGAGACAAGACAGAAACCAAACCTGACTATATCTGACTATACAAGGACTTGGTACTCAGAAGCCTTTAAATAGTATAATGGAAGAAAACATGCTACCAGATTCACATTTTCAAAGAGTCACTTTCTGGATTTGGAAAACTGATTGCAGGGAAGCAACATACAGTGACAGCGAAGGAGATGGAGTAAAATGGAGAAATTTCAGAAGTATTCCAGAAGTTAAGTATTGAGATGGAACATGAAGGATGAGAACAAGAACACGAGGATGATGTTCAGATGTCCAGAATAAGCAAATAGGAGCATGACAGGTACTTGATACAAAGATAAAGGACACTGGAAGAGAAGCAAATGTGGGTAGAAGATAATAAGGTCAAGTTTTAACCAGGTTGAGTCAGAGGTGCTCTGTGAAACACACAAGTAGAGAGCAAGGAGAACACTCCCCAAGTGTGTCAGGAATACAGAATATCTACATGTGAGTATTCCCAACTTACCTCATTGCTCCCACCCTATAACTCTGCCAAAATAACAAACCTTTCCTTCCTCTCTCATCTCCTAGGGAGAACCTGGTCTTTGTCACCCTAATTCTTGAGCCGTTACCATCCAAGGCAAAAAAGATGGAGAAGAAAGCATGGAACAAAGATCTGGTTTGCAGGTAGAAGTTCAAATGAAAAAAGACTGGAGAGAGCTGTGGATGAGAGGCTCAGGGTTCATATGGAAAAAATGGGAGCCTTTAACAAAGGGACTGAGGCCTGACTTGGGAGGGGAGGCAGAGGAGTAGACAACAGAGATTTTAAGAAATATTGCAGAGCTATAACATACACGCTATTATATTCTTCAAGACACAAATAGAGTACTATTACTATTGAATTACTTTATGTTCCTAAACTGTATATATTTAAAAGCAACTTCACAGGGAAACTGGGTCCAGGAGGGTTTGGAAGTTACACAAATATCTGAAGCTCAGAAGATAGTTCTGTGTGGTTGGTGCACAAAACAGAAACCAAAGGAATAGAAGAGAAATGGAAGAGGAGAAGAATGCCTAGAACTCAGTCCTGAAACATTCCACTATTTATGGAACTGTGAAAGGAAGAAAGTAAGAAGGAACAACCAGTAAGCATCCACCTTACACTTGAATACCATGTTATTTTCTAAAGTCTTTTTTATGTTACCATTTTATATTAACATGTAAGGTCACCCCAGCAGTTGGTAGATGGGATAGGTGTCATTCATTATCCCCCAAGAAAAGGTAAAGAAACCTAGCATCAAAGACAGACAAGAAGAGATTTTAAGGAAAGTCACATAAGCAGGTTAACGTGAAAGTGAGTCTCACAGATTCAGGTCCCCTAATCTCTGTTATGTGCTACTGGAAAACCAAGGGCCATGCCTCTGATTTGAATGTGACCCTTTAGAAATTTCTCAGACACGTTTTCTTTTTGGACCTACTACCTTAGC